TGAGCCACTGGCCGAGACAAAATAGGCTTAAAAAAAATTTTTTTTTGCCACTTGAGATTGAACTGTATCTCTAACCCCCTTTTTTAAATTTTGAGACAGGGTCTTGCTAACTTGCTAGGCTGGACTTGAATTTGGAACTCTCCTGCCTCTCCTTCCAGAGGGTTGAGATTACAGGCATGTGTCAGTACACCTGACTAAAATAAGCTTCTTTAGCAAGTCCCTCAGAACTACAGATGATGGCTGGCTACAGTAATTTAATTATTTGCCTACTGTCAACCTGTAGTAAAAGGGTGCCAGTTGTATTTCCTAGTGTCTTTTATTTCTAACTGTAAGCTACGACTATCCCATATTGTTGAAGAGGAGTTGATCAAAAATGAAAACATTTTAATTAAATGGGTAATTTATGATATTAATGGGACTGTTGACAGAAGGACAGGAAGATAATCAGTGATTTTGCTAATTTTCCTTTCACTTTGTTGATATTAGTAATGTTTAGGTTGGGTCAGCAAGACAGATACTTTGTTTTTATTAATATTTAATCAGTAATGTTACCTAAAGCTTATTGCTGTTGACAGTAGCACAGAAGTACTTATCTGATTATTACAGCAGTTTCTATAAGAGTCAGCCATAGCAGCCTGTTTTGCCGATAATGAAAATGAGGCATAGAGATGGAGTATGTCCTTATAAGTGGCCCTTTGGGGTGCAGAACTCAGCCATCCCATTTTTGTTTATCTAGGGCCCTCAGAGATGTGTCTTAACATAAAACACGCAATAAACATGTAACCGCATTCCTTGTTTGGCTCTTCTAAAACTTAAGATACCCACCTTTCTGGGATTTTCTAAGCTAAGTGATTTTCATTAGTCCTTCCCGTTTTAGCATTTCTTGGGGGTTTATTTTCCAAATTATGTATAGGTTGTTTATACCTTTTGCTTATGTTCTAGGAGCAGAAATTCTGCCTCTTGGATTAAAAAAAAATACACAAGAGTTTTCAGGAACAGATTTCCCTTACAAGAGAAAGGCTTTATTTAAAGTATTGTCTTTGGGGAAGTGAATTCTGTGCCATAACATGTCTCCCTTGCTTCCTAGCCTGCCCTGTATGTTGGTGCTCCGTCTGTTTTTGGTCTGTGTCATTCACGTTGTAGGGGACCAGCTGGGATCTACTGTCTCTCCTTTCCAGCTGTCTTTTTGCCCTTTTTCCTGTTTGCTGTCATTTCCACAAACTTTTATGTGTTTTTTATGATTTTGAGAATACTCTTATTAGTTTCTGTAGTCAAACCCACAGAGATAAGACCTCACATATTTAACACAGTCTGTTACCCCTGGGTGGATGGAAAGAAAAATGAAGATTAATGTTCGTAGATTAATATGGTTACTAATTTCTGTACAGTGCCATCTCAAAGTGGTAAACTAATTTTTCAAAAGTTGACAGTTATAGTTCCCCAAACTTCAAATTCTATATATATATGTACATGTATATTCATATCAAAAGACCACTAGTAGCAATGTGTTATGCATCAATAGCAGTAATAGCTTTTCCAGGTTCTGCAATCGTGTGCAAAAAATTATAGAGACATCCGGCACACTTCATTAAAAAGAAAGCAAAAAACAAAACACCAGAAAATAACTTTTATTATTATTTATGGGCCATTCTTGGATCTCACAATCTGAGTATTTGGGTCTTTTGAAGACATAAAACAAAAAATGAGTCTTTTTGCATGTGTGACTTTGAAAAGGGAGACGAGGTATTTTGCAATTTCCTTTTAATCATCAATGAGCAGGAGCAGCACAGGGTGTGTCCTGCGCTGTGTTGAGCGTTTACTCCCTCAATGCATGTATTCTTTCATGGCATAAATGAGGCATGCTGTGTTCTCTTTCCTGTTTGTGGCTTAGGTCTTTTGAACACTGTGCTATCATTCATGGTCCAGCTTGGTTTTTATTTTTTCTGTTTCTATCACGAAACACCCCAAAGATCAACAGTGTCAGTCACAGAATCCAAAACAGCTGGTAGCTGGGCCCTGCCTTGTACTTTGTGGCTTGGGTTTGTCTCCTCTTCCGGAATAAGTGGGTGGCTTCTTCCTACGTTTTTTCTTTTGTTCTATAAATGGGGGGGGGCAGTGTCAAGTACAGAGACTGCTCTTTCGTCTGAAGGAGCTGCCAGCTCCAGCTCCACGGTGCAGCTTCCGTTCAACTGAGTGGTCTTTGCTGGCTGTGGAGGAGAGCCAGATGGCAGAGTGGAGCAGACGCTCCCAGCCTGCCTGCATTTCGATCATAATCTTAAAGATCAACACACTGTAGTGATGTGCGTTCATCCTTTTCCATGGGATTCTGAACTTTTGTGATCTTCTGGAAATGATAGCAATGGATACCTTACACTTCGTAATGCGATGAAGCACATACTGTACAGTGATTGGCTGAGTTCACACACTTCTCTATAAAAACCACCTTTTGCTATTTCAGAGCAAATTAATTAATTTACAGTGGCATTGCAGGAATGAGGAATTTTAGATTGGGCACAGGAAAAGGGAAAGTGTTCCATCACTCTGAAGAAAGACTTGGCCGCTCAAGGACAGTTGCTGGGTAAAAATGCAATGGAGAAACGAGAGATGGGGGGAGGAGAAAGAAGGAATTAGGTGACACTAGGAGGGTGGCTGTTGAGATTCATGTGTATGGACTCCAGAGAGTGGCAACTTTGAACTGAAACTTCTCTGTGGGGAGAGTGTGGGACAATGTACCATGCAGAGTGTATTAGTTAGCTTTTGTCACTAGGACAAAATACTTGATACACACAGCTTAAAGGACAGAGAATTTATTTTGTTCGTGACTTCAGAGGTTTGGGTCTGGGACAGGTGGGTCTAAGGTAGAAACACCGTGGCAGGAGGGATCATAGAGGAAAACTCGGAGGCCAAGAGAGTCAGAGGTATTCCCTTCAGAGGTGCGCCCTAGGGACCCGCCCTCTACCTCCTGACAACCCATGGGCTATAAACACATCAGTGGATTAATCCGTTGAAAAGTTAGCACCCGCAGTACACGAGTCTTTTAGCAATCATCTCAGCTGGGGTAAGCCTCATTGGCTATGATCCTGCCACTGCCCAAAGCTAATACACAAGTCTTTGAGGGGCTTTTCATATTTAAACCATAAGAGGGAGAAAGCAGTCCTGGAAGCAGGGTGTGAGGATGGAAAGAGACTGGCCCGTTGAACCTTGGTGGCTACCCTGTGGTAGACAAGAGGAACATGCTAGCAGGCCAGGTCGGAGCCCGCGGGGAGGTGCCTCTGTAGCCTCTCCCTGGCCCTGTTGGGGTAAGGATGGAGTTGGGGGAAGGCTGAGTCGTGAGACCTTGTGTGCATAGCTTGAGTCTTCAATATCTGCAATATTTCCTCACATTTAAGGCAGATTCTTCATATCTGCAATATTTCCTCACATTTAAGGCAGTGGGGAACATACCCAAAAGCTTCTAGCATGCTTGAGTGTTTGCCCAGTTCTGGCTTCTCTCAGGAGCCTCCTGTTCTCATCTATGAAGTGAAGGACATGGACAGATCATTTAAGATTCTAGATGATCGAGCTTTGCCTACTCAGCCCTCGAATCCTTCTGCGGCTTCTTCTCCCGCCATCTGTACATGGTTCCTTGCACGGATATACTACCTGGAGCCTTCTCAGAGGGCAGGACTGTGTCGCTTTGTCTCTTTCGTGGTGTCACATAGGCCAGGTACTTCATTAGTGAATTACGTTGGACAGAAAACTTCAGTCTGTTTGAGAAGACTTACTAGTGGGATGGTGGATTATGAAATCCCAAGAAAATGTAGTAACCAAAGGCTTTTGGTATGTACATCTGCGGTTTTAAAAGTAACATCTTCAAGTACTGAGGCCATTTTACCAAAAGCTTTTAAAAACCCTCAGATGCATTGGTCAGCAATTCCATGTCTAAGATTTATCCTAAGAAAATAATATTGGATATTTGTCAAGAATGTTCACTGCTGCATTGTATATAATGTGAAAATCGTGAAATAACCTTAATGTCCAGCAGTAGGGTACTGGTTCACATGTACATGTGCATAGCAATACTGTAGGAATGTTCCCTGTTTATTCCAGTGCTGATGTGGAAGGGTACTCATTGGCTTGGTAAAATGTTCTTGTTGAATGAAGGAAATACCTTTACAAATGTCATATTACGGTCTGATTTCATTTCCTTTCAGTTATTTATAGAGAAAGGATAGCTGGTTTGTATAGTATTAATATTGTCTATCTTTGGATGTTGTGTTCGCTGATGAATTTTACTGTCTTGTGCTATTACCTGACTTGACTATGGGAAGCATGCTTTCTTGGTTAATAAAATACTTGATTAAGGAGCATATTTTTCCATTAAGGGGTACTGTTTTCTAGCCCTTGTGTCTACATTAATGCTTTGTAGGGGAGAGCAGAAAGTTACTGGGCCCGTGTCAGATGGTGGCAGGATGTATGGGAGCAGGCCTCTTGTCTTTCTTCTCTGCATCATGGTGCTTCTCTAGGGTAGGCTGTAGGGCTTGGTGCTCGCAGGCTGGGTGCAGTAGTGAGCACTTGGCTGCTAAGCTTTTTGTTTAGGCACTCGGAACTGGCGCTCTGCAGAAGGGGTAGACTGTGTGAAGTCTGATGGAGGGTGTGTGGAGCTGGGCTGTCGTGGGTTATGGCCTTGACTTCTGTGTATAAACCCAGGTGTCCCCAGGGTCTGTGCTTTAGTTTGTTTAGTTGTTGAGGTCGATGGTACCTCCCTCCATTGGTGAGTGTGTTGGGCAGCATCTGGCCCTGCGTCAGCCTTCCTGAGCGACAGCTGCCAGGGCAGCATCCTGTGGAGTCCGCCATAGCCCACACCTCAGGCTGCTCTGCTGTGAACACTTGAGCCTTTTCCCTTGATAAAAGCAAGTTTCCTGTAAACTGTCAACCATAGTTGCGTGAGAACATAGTTTTACGAATGGTTTCCTTCTAATGGAGACATATCCCACCTTTGACCTTTTGTCTCCCTCCAGTCTGTGGGCCGGGCATCGACATCCGCAATGACTATCAGCAGCTAAAACGCCTGGAGAACTGCACGGTGATCGAGGGCTACCTCCACATCCTGCTCATCTCCAAGGCCGAGGACTACCGCAGCTACCGCTTCCCCAAGCTCACCGTCATCACCGAGTACTTGCTGCTGTTCCGGGTCGCTGGCCTCGAGAGCCTCGGAGACCTCTTCCCGAACCTCACCGTCATCCGCGGCTGGAAACTCTTCTATAACTACGCCCTGGTCATCTTCGAGATGACCAACCTGAAGGATATTGGGCTTTACAACCTGAGGAACATTACTCGGGGGGCCATCAGGATTGAGAAGAATGCTGACCTGTGCTACCTCTCCACAGTGGACTGGTCGCTGATCCTGGATGCGGTGTCCAATAACTACATTGTGGGGAACAAGTCCCCAAAGGAATGTGGAGACCTGTGTCCAGGGACCATGGAGGAGAAACCATTGTGCGAGAAGACCACCATCAACAATGAGTACAACTACCGCTGCTGGACCACAAATCGCTGCCAGAAAAGTAAGAAACCACTGACTGCTGCTTTCTCTGTTCCCCTTTCTTTTTCTTCCTCTTCCTCTTTACTGTTCTCCTTCTGAAAGTTTTCTGTGGTAAGGTGGAGTCCTGTTGCGTTTAGGATGGGGCACACCTGCTGTGCAGAAGTGGAGAGCCGTGGCGGGGGGCATGCTTTGGTTGACTTTCTTTTGCATCTAGGAGCTCTGAGGATGCAGGACTGTGGCATGATTGGAGGCCACTGTGGCTGCTGTCAAGAGGGATCAAAGCACATTCTGGAAATACAGTGGCACCCCTGTTCATGAACTTAATTTGTTCCAGGATTCTAGGGAAAATGGCCATGTTCATGTGCATGCAGAAAAGATGGCTATCATTGTGTTTCTCACCTCTACAGAGTTCATAAGCAAAATCAAAGTTTTGTCCAACCAAATTGTTTGCAAACAAAAGGGTTCATGAACCGAGATACCACTGTAATCTGTACTTCGGGGTTAGAAGCTTGTTGACCTATAGCTTTGAATTCCTGATGAGAAAGGGGACCTGGTAGCCTTAGTAGCTAGGCACTGCCTGTGTGTCACCTCTTTCGTTCTTTGCCTGAAGTATTGTTTTTTGGCATAGCACGACTTTCTTAGCAGGACTGTACTTGGGATATGGTTAAGTAAAGGGATAGCAGAGAGCTTTCCACACTTTGTAAGACATTTTAGTTTTTAGCGATGATACCATAACGCGTAGGGGTCCTGGTTTATGGTGGACCAGCTTGCCTTGTGGGAGTCAGGGTGGGGAACCTGTGAATGGGTTTCTAGGAATCCATGGTTCAGGCTGTACTCAAAGGCAGCGTGCAGCAGGGTGCATTTTAGGCTTCCGTGTGCTTCCTATTAGACATGAGTACTGAACAGTCATGAAAATGTGAAATGTTATGAACTCAGTTAGTGAAACAACTGTGAAAATTGCTCTGTGGTGGTTTTAGAGGTAGGTAGTAATACTTGGAGGCTTTATTTTTCTGCAGCGTGCTCATTTTCCCATGAGAATAGCTGAACTTGTGTCTTAATATGATCAATACCTTGAGTGTCTTTTTTTAAAAAAAATGTTTTTAAATGTGGCCCTGGGCAAACATTTACCCTGTTGCATTCAGCAATGTTTAAATGTGTTGGCCAAGATGAGTCCCCTCATTGGTTTGAAGTTGTATGTTAGCTTTAAATGATTGGCACAGATAAAGACCCAAGCAGCATATATGTGCTAACTTTTTATAAAGAGCCAATGAACCCCAAATTGGTCAGTTTACCTAAACTGCAAAGTGTGTAAGGTAAACAAATAAAAGGCCAAAGCCCCCAGGAGGCCCTTGTTTCAGTTCCCCATTGGCCAAGGTTAAGCAGGAAAGGATGTGTCTTCCTTGCCGGCCACACACCTTTCCTGTCTGTGTGGTTGTGTATGTGAACCTTTGATTAGTAAGAGCAGGGGTCCCATTGCCTTGAAGAGCTGAGAATGCTGTCAGGCTACTTTAAGGGTCAGTTGGCTAGAGACAGAGGAAGGTACTTTTGTGATTGATTAAAACTGCCTGATTATTATTTCAACCTCTGGTTTGAGAAAACTTCAAAATACATTTTTAAAGTAGCCTCAACATTTTAAAATTCTGCCTGAAAAGTAAAAGATGTCATCAATCAGCCACCATAGGGGACACAGATTAGGTATGGTGATGACATTAGCAGTGACTTGAGACAGTCTGCCTCTCTGGACCATAATAGGGTATGTATCTAAGCAGTTACTGTTACTCCTTTATGGTGATCAAATATATGCATAGTTGGGTGAGGTGACAAAACTGTCATCCCAGTGACTCAGGGGTCTGGGACAGGATTGGTTCAGAGCCAGCGTGGGCAATTTAATAAAACCATTTCAAAATAAAAGAGCACTGGAAGTATAGCTCGGTGGTGGACCATGTTCCTGGGTTTGATCCTTAATATCACAGAACACAGAAAGTACGTATAGTGCAGAAGTGTTTTTGGAAACTCCGAAGCTTTGTACCAAAGGGGGAGGTATTATTTAAAGAGTCACTGGGCAGGGGAGCACCTGCTGAATGACTTGGCAGATACTTATTTTGGTCTCACTGTGGGTTTTCAGCTGTTTCTGACTAGCTGCTTGCTGAAGAAGCCTGGAGCAGGGGTGAAGCCTGCATTCTGGGATCAAGTCTAAGAGTAGTGACTAGAAATGAACAGTAGTGATTCAGATTGCCTGAGCCTGAGTTTTTGCATCTGCAGGATGAGATAGAGCCTGCTTTCCCTTATAGAGCTGTTGGAAGATTAAAAGAAGAAAGCGGAAAAGTACCATGAGAGAGCTGGAAAGTGGGCCTGATGTTGGCAGGTCTGTTGGCTTGGATGCTGGTCTCCCCACCATCATGCCCTGCAGCCTTTTCTTGGATCAGCTGTCCCAGTCCTGCTGATGTTTTTCTGTGATTTCACTATGGAGTACTTACTTACAGTTAATAAATGCAATCCTCTTCTCTACATTTTGTCCTGAAAATTTAGGCACAGGCACAGTGTCTAAGAAGTTTTCAAGTTGAGTTGGAATTCGTTTTGCTTTCAACCTTTATTGTCAGAATCTTATCTGAGTGCTTACGCTGTGGCCTGTCTGAATTGAGACCTACCCTAAGTCTAAGTACCCACTGGATTTCCAAGACATAGTATGGGGAAAGCTCATTAAAAAAATCTCATTCATAATTTTTATATAGATTACATGTTGAAACAATATCTGTTGGATATGTTAGATTAAGAAAAATATGTTGTTAAAATCACTTATTACTTTTGAACATGGCTGTAGCATATTTGAAATTTTGGATGGTTTGCACTCCATTGCTATGGAGAGCACTGCCTTAGAGCCTCCCTTCAATATTGGAGCTCTTCTTGTTAGTATCTCTCACACCTCCAGACCATGGCTGCACTGCTGTGCCCTGTGCGTCTCCAGCCAGGCGATTTGGTACTTATCTTAGGGAGCCAGGGAAGAGCACTGAGTACAGACAGAATGTCTACATTTAATAACTATTTGAGAAAAGGAAGCACCTTAGAGTCCCTTTTGTTATTCTTGTGTTTGCTGGTGTAGAAGTGGAGAGGAAACCTGGAAAGAAACATCTAGTCAAGGGTGTGTATGAGTTTGTTGGTGGGATAGAAAAGCACTCAGATGTGATATACAGTTTTGACGTAATATCTTTTAAATTCCTCTTACATCAGGACTGGGCAGTGGCCAGGAGTGTAGTGGACAGCATCACTGGGAGTTTCTGCACACTTCTGTATTACTCTGTTCTCTTAAGACATGAAGGAAGATTTTATGCAGGCTTGAGTTATTCCTAAAGTGAGAGATCCTTAAAGAGTAATCTGTTACCTTTTCCCTTCTGTAAGGCTGTAACTGTTCATTTCATCTTATTTCCCTTTTGTTCCAACAGACTTTTCCTCTGGTTTCCTTCTCCTGCCTGTAACTTGTTTGCTTTATTGACCCCATGCTTCAGTCTGGTCTTTAATACTTGGTGGTTCTCTTAGTTACTTTTCTTTGTTGGGATAAAATACCTGAGACTTACAAATTAAAGGAAGAAACATTTATTTCAGCTTACAGTTGGCAGAAGTTTCATTCCATAGTTGACAGGCTCCAAGGCAGGGTGGCAGAGCAGCAGGGCTGCAAGGTGAAGGAGAAATAGCCCGTGACAGGGCAGGCAAGAGGAAGCAATACCAAAGCACGCTTCCCTTTTTCTCTTATCCTATGTAGGCACAAGCCTTGTTGGTGGTGCCACTCCCACCCTGGGTAGACCTTTCCATTATCAACAACTATGCTAAACAAATCAGTGGAGTAATTTTTTTACCATGCACGTGCCCAGTATCACACATCCTAGATCCAGCCAGCTCGGAAAAGCCCCACAGATAAGCACATGACACTGTGAGGGGACAACTAGATACAAGCCATTGCAGTGGTCTCATAGTCTGTTTGGGACCACATTTGCATTGACAGAATATTGTAAACTGGCTGATAACAGTAGATTTGTTTTTCACAGTTTTGGAGGCTACAAGACCAAGGTGCTGCTGGCAGATTCTATGTCTGTGAAAGCACCTTTTTGTGGTGTCTTCACATGGAAAAGGGGCAGCGGCTCTCTTGGATCTCTGTTATGAGTGCCAGTCCTCTCTATGAAGCTCCACCCTCTCAATCTAATCATTTCTCAAAAGCCCCAGCTTCTAGCACTGTCCTGCTGGATATTAGGTTTAACAGAAGAACTTTGGGAGGATAGAAGCACTTAGATCATAGCATGGCCAGAGTTTCATTTTTGTTCCCCTCTCATCCACTGTCCTCCTTTCTCCGTTGAGCTTCCAAATAACCAGCTCCTACCCAGACCTCTTCTGCAGTTCTAGCCTGAGCATCCATCCATGCACATACAGTATCTGGTGGTCTTCTACATCACCTCTCTCTGGCCTGTTGTTTTTCTCAGCTGAGCAGCACTCTTGTCCTCCTGGTTTTCATGTCAGAAAAGTGGGTGTTCTCTGGATGCTTTCCAATTGAACAAGAAGTCCTCACCCTCCCACATGTTGCTGCAGTTTACCTTCCTCCACTGTTCCCAGGCTGTGCAGTGACATAACCTACCTCCAGCTTCCCTGCTCTGTTCCCCGCAGCTCCCTTGGGCACCGATGGATATCCTGGCACACTTTGGATGAATATGCTCCCACCTGTACTCCTGTGATAGGCCCTGTAGGAAAAGCACTTATATATCATACCACTCCTTTGTGGTCTGCCACTTGCACCATGATACCGTGCCAGACCATACATGCCACTATCTCCTTCCTGCCTGCAGTGTGTCTGGTCCCCAATACCTCTCTTTGGTGTTGACCAGCCATCCCCTCTAACCTGCCAAGCTTCTGCCTTTCTTTACTACTGGAAGACTTTAGGGCTTTTTGATCCCTTTGGGTGACTCCTAGTACCCAGAGGAGGGACACTCTGAATTGCTGCATAGATTCTGGGTCTCTCCTCCAGTGCATGGTTGCCAC